TGATGATGATGATGATGATGGTGTTTGGTGAGTGTTTTCATTCATCTTACTTGCTAAAAATGTCCTGTTTAGGGTTTTCTAAATTCATTAATTCTAAATTAGAACGGGTAGTTTATTAAAAACTGTAATAGAGTTTGATTTGAAGTGAAAATCAACAGCAGCAGACCTGAAAGATTTGTCAAAACGCTTGTCAGCGTTAATAAAATATAATGCAGATTCAGTAGAAAGTTAATTGAGTTTTCCGAATTGATTTTCAGGGTCATTTCTACGCTTCGCATTAGTGTCTCCAGTCTAGAAAAGAATGCTATGAAACTAAGAAATGAAGTGTTTTTGCCCTCAAACTGTAAATATATGTGGCATTTTTGTCACTTCTGGTTCATTTCTAGCCCTGTTAGATTAAGTGTGAAGACCTTTAGACCCCAGTACTCTTTTGTGATGTGTAAATGATGACAGAATGATAATTTTTGGATGAACTGTCCCTTTAATAAAACTAAACGACTAATTTTGAACTTGCGTTTATTAATTTAGCAGATGCTTTTAACCAAAGCATCTCACAAAGGAGCAATAAAACAAACCTCAGGTACTTTCTGAGGTCACAGATGAACATCCACACGTGACCGTTAACTATTGAATGCTCAGAAACATCTTGAGGATGAGGGTGCACAAAAATCTAAATATTGAGAAAATCATCTTTAAAGTTGTCCAAATGAAGTTCTTAGCAATGCATATTACTAATCAAACATTAAGTTTTGATATATTTATGGTAGGAGATTTACTAAATATCTTCATGGAACATGATCTTTACTTAATATCCTAATGATTTTTGGCATAAAAGAGAAATGTATAATTGTGACCCATACAATGTATTGTTGGCTATTGCTACAAATATACCCCAGCGACTCCAGGGTCACAAATAATAAACATAAAAAAGTGTGATATGACCCCTTTAAGATAACATTACTCAATTTGAAAGAGTTAAGATCAGTTTTATGTATATAGTTTTATGTTAGAAATTAACATTTCTTATTAAGTGTCAATATTTGCCTCCTTTATATTATCTACATGTCTGAAAATTGGCTAAAAAAAGAAACAATAAATGTAAAATAAATTATGATATGACCCCTTTAAGATAACATAATTACCCAGTTTGCAACACTCAAATTATCAAGTTCTTAAATTTTTTTTTTTTTTTTTTTGCTATATAACAATGTCTGAAATGTTTCTGAAATATATATTTCTTTTCAATGGCAAAATTTGCCTCCTGGAATTGAGTTTCAGGGTCATTTAATTCTTTATATTTGTTACATAGTGTTTGTAAATTATACAATTATATAATGTGATATATAGTGTAATGTGATTATATAGTGTGATATGGCCCCTTTAAGATGGCATAATTATGCAGTTTGAAACAATTAATTATATTCAGTTTTATATATGTTGTGGTCTTATTTTATGCATCAACAGTGTCTTATTAACTGCATAGTGTCATAGTGTAAATTGGCAAAACTTATATCAAATCTGAGAAAAATACATAATAAATGTAAAAAAGCAAAGATCTTAGGCACCAGACTGCTAGAGAGAAAATAAGCATTGAGCTCGGAGCCCATTATGCTTGTCTAAATGCATGTGCTGTAATCTCATGTTCTTATCCACATCAAACCCTTTCCTCCACTGAATCATGCGGCTATTAAAACGTCTGCAAGCTCATAAACTTGTACATATAATGAGAATGAAGGAGAGGGCAGTTAGAGCGGCTCTGAGATTTGAGCTGTTAGCTCACCAGCTGGAGATGTTCTCCAGAGCGCTGCGGACGCTTGGATTGAGATACAGTAGAAAAGCAGCGCTGGGAACCAAACACACTTGACGTTTGGCGTCAGCATTAACAACGGATGGATAAAAATGCTCATGAATTAGTGTGAAAAACACACTGAAGTGTCAGTTCATTGATGCATAATTGAAAATATTAAACCCATAACTAGTTATAGTTATGCTCTAGACTTCAGAATTAAATTAAGTGCATTTATGCTAACGTTCCAAAATTCAGAAAGTGTAAGGCTGCATTTATTTGATTAAAAATACAGTAAAAATTGTTACAAATAATTAGAATCTATAATAGCTGTGTTCTATGTGAGTATCTGTTAAACTGTAATGTATTTCTGTGATGTGCAGCTGTATTTTCAGCATCATTCCTCCAGTCTTCAGTGTCACATGATCTTCAGAAATCAGTATAATATGCTGATTATTAGAAACATTTCTGATTATTATCAGTGTTGAAAACAGTCGTGCTGCACGATATTTCTGTGGAAACATACATTTTGTTTTTCAGGATTCTTTGATGAATAGAAAGTTCAAAAGAACAGCATTTAATTGAAATAGAAATCATGTGTAACATTATAAATGTCTTTACTGTCACTCTTGATCAATTTAATGCAGCATCGCTGCATAAAAGTATTAATTTCTTTCAAGAAACAGTAGTGTGTCATTTATTCATTTAGCTAGTAGAGAATAATTCACAAAACAGATAAAGTGGTTTAAAGCCACATCAAACCAGGTTTAGTAACTTGAGAAGGACTTAAACCTTCTCTAGATGAGTTTAACTGTAATGATGCTGAAAATTCAGCTTTGATCACAGAAACAAATTCCATTTTACAATATATTCACATAGAAAACTGTGTCATTTATTCATTTAGCTAGTAGAGAATAATTCACAAAACAGATAAAGTGGTTTAAAGCCACATCAAACCAGGTTTAGTAACTTGAGAAGGACTTAAACCTTCTCTAGATGAGTTTAACTGTAATGATGCTGAAAATTCAGCTTTGATCACAGAAATAAATTCCATTTTACAATATATTCACATAGAAAAGAGCTGTTTTAAATTAAAATACATTTTCACAATTTTACTGTTTTTTCTGTATTTTTGATTAAATAAATGCAGCACTGGTGAGCAGAAGAGATTCTTCTTTCCGACCCGAAACGTTTGACTGCTATAGTGTACAGTATGTGTTTTGCAGGTGTTAAAGACTTTGATATGAGTGAAGCACTGGAGCGTTACTAATGTTTCCAGCTGGAGAACACATTGTTGCGTTATGATCCGTAAAAATGAACGCGGGCGGACATTCTTACAAATAAAGCTTTTTCATTGGCATTGATGTTTCTGTGAAGAACTCTTAACAGAACCGTTCGTGTGGAATCCAGAGCTGCAGCCTCAGGCACCCAAATACTTTCATTTCCGAGGTTTTAGTGCTCAGATTCTCTCAGATTTTCCTCATGCGGCTCCTGATCGCCGGCCAGAAATGTGTTTGCTGTTATCCAGCCATCAGCTGTATTTGCTCCAAGTGTCATTATGTGAAAATGAATTATAAATGCTGCTCTCAGTCCAGCAGCGGCTCGTTCCCACATTCATTAAAGCGCTTTATATCCTCTAATGTAGATTAATAGCATTAATTTTGAATTGTGATCTAAACATTGTGTAGAAATCTTTACAACCAGGCATCATCGCAGTATAGATACATGTTTGCATGCATGTTTACTTCTGACATTCATCTGTATATTTATTTTTGTGAATGAACCCTTTATAAATTCTGCTTCAGTGCTAACATAAACTGATATTACTCAGCTACACAGTTGGACAGTTAGTTTAAAGGTCATTTAAGTCATATTTTGCTGGTAGTTTACGCACCCTCAGGCCATTCAAGATGTAGGAGACTTTTCTTCAGTAGAACAGTAAAGAGGATTTTTAGCTGAAATCGTGCTCCTTGGTGATTCATATAATGCAAGTCAATGGCTACCGAGGCAGAAACACGTAAACAGGCAACACAAAATTAATCCTCATGGCTCCTGATGATATATCGAGGTCTTATGAAGAGAAACGATCAGTCTGTGCAAGAAACTGAACATTATTTACAGCATTATTAACTGTAATCCAGAGCCTCAGGCAAACAGTGGAATATGATTCTTTTCTGTGAACTGATTCTTTTGGACAGTTCGATTTAATGAATTGATTCACTAGTTCATTTACGTACTCACACAATGAGAAATTATAAAAACTTTCGTTTGACGCTTTCATTCAAGTGTTGGGTTCACGCATGCGCAGATCAGCTGCTCATCGGTCTTCGGTCCGAGTCGAACTGTTTCCTCAGCACTGAATGATTCATTCATCACAGGATCAGATACGACAGTATTTCGGCTCATTTGGAGTCAGAGTGACTGTCAGGCGTCTGAAAGTGACTTCTGATTCAGTAACTTGTAGATCTGTGCTGCTCGAGCCGCGAACTGATTCAGATGATTCAGTCTGATTCGATGAACTGATTCAACTAGTTCACTAAAAAGAATCAGTTCAAAAGAATGATTCGTTCGTGAACCGAACATCACTCCAGACCGGATTACAGTAATAATGCTGTAAATAATGTTCAGTTTCTTGCACAGACTGATCGTTTCTCTTCATAAGAACTCAATATATCATCAGGAGCCACAAGGATTTATTTTGTGTTGCCTGTATATAATATTTTGACTCTCAAAGCGATGGTAGCCATTGACTTTCATTATATGAATCACCAGGGAGCACGGTTTCAGCTAAAAAAAATCTTCTTTACTGTTCTACTGAAGAAAAAAAGGACTTCTTCATCTTGGATGGCCCGAGGATGAGTAAATTACCAGAAAGTTTTCATTTCAGGGTAACTATCCCTTTAAGGTGTTGCTGGAGTGTTTCTCAAGTGCTAGGTAATTTTGATAACTGGAGTACATTTTCAGATCGTATTATTTCAGTGTTTCGATCTGCATGAGATGAGCTGTGTTTGCTGTGCTTGATCTCATCAGGTTGTGTGAAGGGCTCGTCTCCTCGTCTGGCTCTAGAGAAGAGTCTCGTCTGGCCGTCCAAAGACACACAGTGTCTCCACACGCTGAAACACCTGCAGAACGGTGCTCGCATCACTGTCCAGATGCCACCCAACATCCAGGGACACTGGGTCTCCACCAGGTGAGAGAGAGAGAGAGACGGAGAGAGAGAGCATGGGATTCTATATGTATCAGTTCAACTTTAGTGTGTGTGTCTGTGTGTGAGTGTGTGAGTGTGAGAGTGCGTGTGAGAGAGTGTGTGTGTGTGTGTGTGTGTGTG